GTTGAGCTGTTGTTCAGCATCTTAGCTGTGGAGGGCAGTGTCACTGGCCCTCATATGTGGGATCCGAACCGGGGCCCTCTGGCATCCCAAACGAGTTCTTAACCATCGCGCCACTCGGTCGGCCCTTTTTGCCCATTTTTCTATTAGGTTATTTGTCATTTTGATATACTGGTAGTTCTTTATATATTTATGGATACTAATCCTTTGTAATTACAAATAGTTTTTCCCTGCCACTTGTCTTTTTTATTTTTATTTTTTTACTTTTTCTTTTAAGATGTAATTCATAGACAATTCACCCTTTTAAAGAGTAGTATTCAGTGGTTTTTAATTATACATTTTTAACTGTGCTTATGCTTTCTCATCCAACAAGTTTTTAATTATTTTTGCATTTTTAACTGAGGTATAATTGACATGTAACATTATATTAGTTTCAGGTATACAACACAATGATTTGATATTTATATCTATTGGGAAATGATCACCACAGTAAGTCTAGTTAACATCCATCACTACAGTAGCTCCAATTTTTTTTTTTCTTGTGAGGAGAACTTTTAAAATCTACTCTCATCAACTTTCAAATATACAACACAGTATTACTACTGTAGTCATCATGCTGTATAAGAAGTTTTAAATTTTTATTAGTCGAATCATTTAAATTTTAATTAGTTAGATCATCTTTTTTTTATTACTTTGATTTTTCACATTGTGTTTTAAAAGATCTGCCCCAAGTCATAAATATAATTTCAAAATATTTCTTCAATGCTTTTACAGTTTTGTTTTATACTCTTTAGGACTTTTACCTGGGATTTGTTTTGGAGACTGGTACAAGATGAGGGGGCTAGCTTTTATTATTCTATATACGAGGTGTCATCAAAAGATACAGCGAATGTTTAAATAAAAAAATTATTTCAGTAAAAGACACATTGCCATTAACCTCCCCTTAAAAGACTCCCCCTCACTTCGAACACACTTATCCCATGGTTCTTGCCACTTTCTGAAGTAGTTCTGGAAGTCCTCTTTCGTGAGTGTCTTTACTTCATCCTCCATCATGACAATGCTCCATGTCACACCTGGTACGACAATTTCTGTCAAATAAAAACATGACGGTGTGTCCTCATCTGACTTATTCACTGGATCTGGCACCATGTGACTTCTGGTTCTTCCCCAAAGTCAAAATGATTCAGGATATTGAGACAGCCATGACAGCGCAACTAAAGACACTCACTAAAGAGGACTTTCAGAACTGCTTTAGAAAGTAGAAAGAATGATGGAATAAGTGTGTTCAAAGTGGAGGGGAGTATTTTGGGGAGGATTAATGGCAATGTGTCTTTTACTGTAATAATTTTTTTAAATTTAAACATTCATTGTATTTTTTTTATCACACCTTGTAAATTAACCAGTTATCTCCAAACAATTTATTGAATAGTTTGTTCTTTGTCTACTGACTTGAAATTCCATCCAATTTCCACATGAACATGGGTTTGTGCTTGGATGCTTTCATTCATTCAGCAGATGTTTATTAAACACCTACATTGCAGGCATTGTTGAGGGACCTGGGACATATCAGTGAACAGCCCGCGGATACTTGTGAAGCCCCATACTGATGCTTAGGGGGTCCACTTTTTATTCCTCTGTCAACATCAGACTTTTACTTTCATATTTTCTTGTTAGGGCAAAACCGCTGTTTTGTTCTTTTTTTAAAATTGTCTTTCCTCTTCTTGGTAGGTATTCTTCCACCTGAATTTTAGAATCAGCTCATTATGAGCCATGAAAACTCCTGATGGAATTTTCACTGGAGTTGCCTTCAGCTCAGAGTTTAACTTGGGGTAACTTGAGCCTTTACAACTTCGAGGTCCGACCACAGGTGGCTGTTTAAACTGAAGTGAAAGCTAACTAGTTAACCCAGTTCCCAGGTGCACTAGCTCAGTGCAGGCACCCACCGGCCGCATGTGGTCAGCGGCCCCTGTGTCCAACAGCACAGTGCTAGAACAGCCAGCCCCACGGCTGCAGAGCGCACTAGCAGTAGTGCTGGTTGGAAGCACTGAGGGGGACAGATAGCACTGCATCTGACTACGTGTGGGCGTGGGGCCCAGGCGTGGGGGCAGCCGACCCCTCTATGGCAGGAGCCCTTGGTTTCCTTGTGGAGCCCCATCTGCCCATCACTGAAAGCATGCTGCAGAGCATGGCCTCCCTCCCAGCACAGCCTTCACACCTCTGAGCCTCGCTTTACTGCCTCAGCATGTCATTGGCAGTCCTGCAGGAAAAACCACTTTTCCAAAACTATGCTATGTAAGTAAGCAAGTGCCTTTCTTACACTTATTCAGAGCACCACTGGCAGTCTCCCCTGGAGC